TGGTGTCATGGTGTATTGTGTTGTATGATGTGATATGTGTGGTGTGGTACAGTGAAGTATGGTGTGGTGTGATGTGATGTGGTGTGGTGTGGCAAGGTGAGGTGTACAGTATGGTGTGGTGAGGTGCAGTATCATGTGATGTGGCATGGTGTGGTGTCATGGTGTATTGTGTTGTATGATGTGATATGTGTAGTGTGGTACAGTGAAATATGGTGAGGCATGGTGTAGTATGATGTAATAGGGAGTGGTATTGTGTGGTAGGGTGTAGTATGATGCAGTTTGGTATGGCATGGTGTGATATGAAAAGGTAAAGAGATTGTGGTGTGGCATGCTGTGATATGTTAATGGCATTGTATTGTATGGGGTAATATTCTGTTGTATAGTAGGACATATGGCATGGTTTGGTATGGTACCTTGTGTTATGGTAGTACTGTTCATTACCATGTGGTACATGAATGTTGTGATAATTGAAAATACTTGGAAAAGGCAGAAGTAGGGTATTCAACTTGCACTTTCCAAATCCAGCGCGTCGAAGACATGACAAACAGAAAAGCTAAAAGTTGTGTGGCAGTAAACGTGCTGAAAACCAGTAATCTATCATCTAAATCTGGATCTACTCATTGCCGTACACATATATAAAATACACTCTAACTCACGTGTCATTTGCAAAAAAACAGATGACAGCTGAATTATTAACATTTGAGGTTGCAAGTGTAATCCAAACTGGTCTACTTGCCTTTGCTAACAATTTATCGCTTCACATCTTCTGTATGGGTGCTCTTATACCTTCACATTCCAGAGCTAATGCATTACTGGGAATAACTAGGCTTTTGTAACCTCTGAGTCGCCATCTGAGGCTATAATATATGAGGTAGAGGAAAGGAACACAACATTATAATAATATTTCCGTGAAGTGCAACGTTATATTTCTAATCGTTGTGTGAGTTATTGGCCTTGTTGGTCGAGGGCAAATGGATGGTCAATAGGCAGCGAATGAAGTCGTTTTTCTGGCAGCAGGGTGCATGGGTAAATCCATCCAGATATTATGTGTGGTGGTTGGAAGAGGATGTGTGTGTGTGTGTGTGTGTGTGT